ACTATGCTGTTTGGGCTTTATCAAAAGAAGATGCTAAACAATTTAACAAGCTTTTGCTTAGAATGACAGTTTCTTGTGGATGGTCTTTATCTTGGGTAAATAATTCTAAAGTTAAAGAATATTATAAATTTTTAAATCTACTTCTCATACTTCCAGATCATTGAACATTGGGCAATTAAGTTTTGACTAAAATTATTAATAATATTAACAAAAATATGGAAATTGCTTTAAAAAAAGATCAGATAGGTGTAACTTTAATATATAACAGCTAGACAAATGTAAAAATAAGTATTTTCTAGGAACAGTTTTATTATTATTCAAAGAAAAGTCTTATATTTGAAAAGCTATTGATATTAGTTCTGAATGTGAAAAATATCAAGATGTTATAGATAAAACCGAATCAATACTTCTTGAATTAGAGTTAATAAATATTAAAGTATACACTATTGTTATTGATAGTGCAGGTGCTTATGTGGCTGCAAGGTAATTAATATAATGAATTAAAATAAAATATATATAAAGTATAAGTAAATCTTAGAGGATTAAATAGAAATTTATATTTCAGTTTAATCCAATTTTATTATAATCTGTAACAATTAATATATTCTAAAATTTTGATAATTAAATAATTACATTTTTAATTATAGATACTATTTGAGATTTCAAGAAGATTAATAGTTTTTTTACTATGTTTTGCCTACTAATTGAATTTATGTGTAGATGAAATTTTCAAAGAGTCATTATCACTAAAAAAACTATTGATCAAGAAATTAAACTTGCTAGTTATTTTCGAAATGCTAATAACTAATTTTTTATTGGTCAGTTACATAATCAGCAGTTCGAAATATATCATAAAACTTACACAATTTCTGCTCCTTGTGAAACTAGATGGAATAGTTTATTTTTTATATATACAACTCTTTTATGTATACAAGAAGCATTAGAAGTAATATATTAAATTATTAATAAATAAAATTTATTTTTTAAAAATTAATTAATATTTATCTTAGATCTTGGCTATAAAATTTAAATCTCCTTTTTCTGAAACTCGTTGCTGTACAGGAAATAATTACATTCACTAAGAAATTTTTGAGATTATTAGATCTAATGATTTTTGGGATTAAATTAAAAATTTGTTTAAACTTCTTACTCCATATTGCAAGTTACTTACTATGCTCCAACGAGATAAAGCTCATTTGTTTAAAGTTATTTTTAGTATAGCTTATCTTCTGCAATTTTAGAAATCGAATTCTGATAATTTTTTGATAGCACAATTAATTGGAAAACTTGAATGATATTGAAATAAATAGAAACAGCCAATTTTATTATTATCAGTAATTTTATATCCTAAATATCGAATAATCCAATTTCAAGCTATAGCAGTTAATATTAATTATCCTACTTTTAAAAATGATTATATTATTATTATCATATATGAACAGGTCAAGAACCAAAATGTATTCTTTGTGAATTTAATGATTTTTGTATAAAAAATTATCCTTTTAATGATAAATCTTATTAGTATTTTAAAGAGAAGTTTTATCTTATTGGAGCTTTACCAAAGATGCAACTGACGGATTAGAACTTGTGGCTTGTAAAATTTTTGGTATTTGTGTAAATGCTGATTCCATAGAATAATTGTAAAGCTGTATGAGTTTTATTTAAACCAATCAGTGAAGTCGATTAAAAGTAAGTATATGACAAATTGCAAAACTTATTTGTTATTGTTATTAATACTTTTTATATTTTAAAATGAGTATTGCAAAGAAAAAAACCTAATTTTTTTTTATTTAATAAAAATTCTGGATTTTTTCTTTGTAATATATTTTTTTTTACTATATTATAGACACCAAAAGCACTTAATATGAGTAAATTATATGCTAATATAACTTATTAGCATTGTTATGAACCAGATGATCCTTTTTCTACTTTTTTTAATACAGCTTTAACACATAATAATGCTACAACTCAAATGATGTATAATAATGCTACTATAACACAAATATATAGTAATACTACTTCAACTTAAACAATACATGATAATACTACTTTAACTCAAACAACACATAATAATACTAATATTGATTCATTAGATAAAACACAAAATGAGTATTTAGATGAAGATAAAGATGAGAATAATGAAAAATGTGATTTACTTTATATTTTTGAAGCAGAATTTGGTGAGTATCTTCAAGAGTGGGTAAAAATGTTAAACGAAGAGAAGGAGGCAGACATACTTGAAGATCAAGATGATTATGTTGAGTTAATATTATTTACTTGGCTATAGATGAAAATGCGAAATAAAAATTGTCTAGTTTATTTTGTTATTAATTAGAACTTCTATTTTATTAAAATTTTTTTTTCGAATTAATCATATATATTGACTATAAATTCAAGGCAGTAATAGTAGAATAGGTTATGGTTAGCTATGAAACTTGGGACAAACAATAATTTCAAGTTGGTTATAATTATCAAAATAATATTAAAATAGTAGCATATAAATAAAAGATAATTAATAGTAAAAATAAATAGATTATTTGATTATTATTTTTTATTATAAATTATGTTTAATAATATTATTTTTGTTTGAAATTGTATTTAAAATTCAATTATAAAGTTATCAACATGATTTTAAACTGTGTAACTAATCATCTTTAACAAAATGGCAAGCACCTAATCAATAAATAAATAACAAAAATTAATTAGCAATTGAACAAACCAAGTGAGCTATAATAAAAAAAAATTTAGTTTTAGAATTAAATACAAATTGGCTAAATTTGAAATCTATGTTTAAGCTTTTAACACCTTAATACTTTTAAAGAAGTCTTTTATTTAGCAGCACTAGAAGATTTAATTCCTGATACTAAAATATAATTCAAATTTGAAACATACTTTAACAAAAAAAAGCAAAGTGAAGTAAAATATAATATTGAATACTCAAAAATACTAAATACCAAAAAGCTCCAAATTTCCTAAAAACTGAATGAAATTGTAGCTATTAATTGTTTTAATTAATTGTGTTAATTAAACATCACTAGTAAATTATGTTGAGAAAGCTATTTGAAAAAATTTAAAGCTTTAAAGATTCGAAAAAGACTAACTAATATGAATATATTAACTATACATAATACTAAAAAAATAAATATGTTGGTGAGTTTAAAAAACTTATTTAATAAGTTATACAGCTTGACTTAATATTCTAATAAGCTTAATATTTATCATTAGCAAATGAAATAGTTTGGGTTAGTGTTATACATTTTGGATATTTTTGATATGTCTAACTTTCAAGAAAGATCAGGCTTGTTTAATAGCTAAATACTGTATAAAACTAGGTTCTCCGGTTTGGTTGTAAATACAGAAATAGTAACAACTAGATTGCAGTTAAGGTAATAGGTTTAAAAACTTGATGGTTACATTCTAATTTTTTTTAAGATGTTACAGTATACATGCATATTGAATAAATTTTATTGGCTTATAATCACATATTGATTAATCTAAACTAGCATAAATTATACATGCCAATGAAATTATTTCAGATTCAAAAACCCAAAATTAAAATTTGAAGATGAAATTGTTTTTGACCTATTTTACTTAAAAGATGAAATTTTTTAATACTTTTTTTGAATAGACAAAATTATAAGAAGTATAAAT